TTTTGAGGTGGTGATGGACGTGGTGGGCCCCCTGAAGCTTGGAGCTGCTGGAGCTGAGTATTTTCTCACCATTGTCGACGTCTACACCCGCATGACTTGGGTGTATGTGCTGGCCAAGAAGAGCGACGTTTCTGAAATGTTGAAGACGGATTGGTTCCCGATGGTGGAGCGGCAACAAGACCGTCTAGTCAAGTCAATCCGCACCGATCGGGGGGGGAGAGTTCCTGAGCAAGGAGTTTGGGTTGTGGCTGAAGAAGAATGGTATTCGGCACTCCCTCACCATGCCATACTCCCCTGCAATGAACGACATTGCCAAGCGAGCGAACCGAACAATCACGGAGGCGGCACGCGGGTTGCTCATTGAAGCCGGGCTACCCGACTATTTCTGGCCTGATGCCGTGCGGAGTGCGTGTGTGCCCAAGAACAGAGCCTTGGTTCATGTGGGAGCAGACAAATGGGTGCCCTATGTGGAGTGGCTAGGAAGGAAGCCAAAGGTGGATATGCTTCGGGTGTTTGGGTGCATGTGCATGGCGCTCGGGCCTAAGTATCTTCGGCACAACAAGCTTGGTGCCAAGGCGGTATGGGCCGTGCACTTGGGCATGGCTCAAAACAGCAAGGGATGGCTTCTTTGGGACCCATTCACCAAGAAGTTCTTGGTGAGCAGGGACTGCAAGTTCATGGAGAACTTCATGTACAAGGATTGGAAGGCGGAGAATGAGGCGAAGATAGGCGTGCGGTTTGGGGAGGTGAAGAGTTCCGGTTTGGAGCATGTGGAGCTGCCTTTGGAGCTGAGCAGCGGCAGCACAACCACAAGGCAATCCTCTCTTGTGAATGGGGGAGAGGAGGCCAATGATGCAGAGGAAGAAGAGGAGGAGGAGGTGCAGCAAGTGAGCGAGCGTGCGCCGTCACTCCCTTCCCGTACTACGAGTGCTCCACGGATTCAAGCCACACCGCAGCAACGCCAAGGCCTTCAAGTCCCTGCAGTTGAGGAGGAAGGAAGGGGGAAGAGGAGAGTTCAACCCCCTGATTGGCTGACCTATGATGCGCCGGGAAAGCAGGGCAAGACAGCCCTGGCCGGAGCGGCAATGATGGTCGGAGACGACGAGGAGAGTGACTACGAGGAGTGTGCCTTCGCGCTCTTCTCTCCGGTGGAGATGCCGGGAGAACCAGCAACTCTCATGGAGGCTTTGGAGAGTAGTGATGCTGAGGAGTGGAAAAAGGCCATGGAGAGTGAGCTGAAGAGCATCGAGGAGAATGACACGTTTGAATTGGTGGAGCTACCGGAGGGGCGTACGGCGATAACGTCCAAGTGGCTCTTCAAAATCAAGTCGGATGCCGACGGCAAGATCGAGCGCTACAAGTCTAGGCTTGTAGCCAAGGGGTACCAGCAGAAGGAGAAGGTGGACTTCAAGGAGCTGTTTGCCCCTGTGGTGAAGCCGATGACGCTGCGAACTCTATTCGCGGGAGCCGCCATCAAAGGATGGGTAGTAAAACAAATGGACATCGTAACGGCATTCCTTAACGGCATCCTTGAGGAGGAGATTTTTATGGCACAGCCAGAGGGGTTTGATGATGGTAGTGGCAGAGTGTGGAAGCTGAAGAAGGCCCTCTATGGGCTGAAGCAGGCCCCTAGGCAATGGTACATGAAGCTGCGCGAAGTGTTGGAGGGGATCGGCTTCACTCCCTCAACGGCCGATCACTCCTTGTTCATGCTTGGCGAGGGGGAGCAGAGGAGCTTCATGGTGGTGTACGTGGACGACATCCTGATCTTCTCACCCTCTCCTGACCTTCTGAAGGAGGTGATGCTGAAGCTGCAAGACAAGTTCAAGTGCAAGTCCCTTGGGGACGTCAACTTCTACCTTGGGCTCCACATCGAACGAGACGTGGAGAAGCGGAGCATGCGAGTGCACCAACGGAAGTACCTGGAGGCGTTGGCTGCCAACTTCGGCCAGAGTGAAGGTCATATGGCTACTCCCTTTCCCTCTGGGTTCAAGTGTGTGAAGGGGCCAGAGGAGGAGAGCGTTGGAGAAGAGGAGAGGCGCCGATTTCACTCGTTGGTGGGCAGCCTCATGTATGCGGCGGTGAACACCCGATCGGACGTCGCGTTTGCTACCAGGAAGCTGGCTAGGGTTGTGCAATGCCCTAATGAGGAGCAGGTAGCAGCTGGAATGAGGGTGGCCAAGTATCTTGGCGTAACACCGACCGTTGGGCTGCAATACTCGGCGGCGGCACAAAGGCGCCAAAAGGGCGCGGATGGTGTTGAACCCGGGCGTTTGTTCCTCACCGCCTACTTGGATGCTTCATATGCATCAGAACCAGAGGACATGACAAGTGTGGGAGGCTTCATATGCTGTGTTGGTGGAGGCCCAACTGCTTGGGAGAGCAAGAAGCAGGTTGACCAAGCTTTGAGCTCGGTGGAGTCCGAGTACATGGCACTCTTCCGTGCCGTACGGGAGATTGTGTGGCAGCGGCGTTTGTTGGCTGAATTGGGGGAGGAGCAGTAAGGACCTACCCCACTCTACTGTGATAGCCAGGGTGCCATTGCTCTTGCTAAGAACCCTATGTTGCATGGACTCAAGAAGCACATGAGGGTGAAGTGGCATTGGACGAGGAGCATGGTAGCCGCGGGTGAAGTTGAGTTGCACAACGTGAAGACCACGGGGCAGCCGGCTGACATGATGACCAAGAGGCTGGTGGAGCAGCAGCATTGGAAGTGTTGCAAGCTGGCTGGGATGGCTCTGAACTGAGAGAGCAACATATCCTAAGGCCAACAATCCGAGGGGGAGTTTGTTGGTGCAACCCTACGGTTTGCACTCGGCTTGTTGTCCGTGTGCGTGCATGTGTCTGTGTATGGAATGGTATGAGGGCATGGGATAATATATATTTCATGCTTATAATTGTGTGTGAATGTCGAGTCATGATGTCGAGTGTGTGTGTCGAGTCAATAGCGAGTTATCGCTAGACGCGTGTTACGCGGTCGTTTATGTCTCGCGCGCGGTTTCTATTTCGTCGTGCGCGGTTTCTATTTTGTCCTGTGTCGAACGTTCGGCATGTCGCAGGTGTGTGCAGCAGACCCATAAAAAACTCAAGGATGAGTTTGTGATGAAGAGCTCAATCCTTGGTGTCAAGCCTCAAGTGATTTCTTAGCTCGCCAAAAGGGTACACCTCAAAATATTGAAGAGAGTTACATTACTTTGTGTAGTGTAACATTTCACTTGGTGTAGGCCCTGGTGAAGGGTAGTTTCGAGACCCTTCGTGGTTGAGGACAGTGTGGCACTGTTCCACATCACTGTACCTCGGCTCTTGGGGTTTGTAGGAGCTGGGAGTCATTCCCAACTCGTAACTCTTCCTAACTCTTCCTATTGTGTGTTCTAAGACTATATTGGCTGCCATTGTGCTGTTCGTTCAAACCGACAGTGTGTCGTCAATACTTGGTGAAATCGTGCAATCTAAATTGCCTATTGTAGGCGACGTTAAGACGCTCCAGATCCAAGTTGAATCAGGTCATTTAAAGGTGTGACCAGAACGTTATGAACGTTTGAAGCCGCTGTGCAGAAATCCGGCTGTGCACTCTATCTTTCGTTTTAGGCACATTGGAGCCTATTGTGACTACAACACTCAGCCACCCCATTTTGCTGCGGAGAGGCCGGAAGTGTGAATGTCTAGCGAATGCCCTCCTCACGACAAAAGCTCTGTAGCAGGTCAGAGGAAAACTCTCCACCTCTGTCAGAGTGTAGACGCAGGACGGGAAACTCCGTCACAAACCACTCGCGAAGCTGGAGACGAGCAGTGCGGATCCAAAGGATAAAAACATCAGGGACCTCACCCTTGGTGAGCAAGGGGAAGACCGCCAGTAGTCGTCAACAACCAGGAGGAAGTACCGCTCGCGGTCCGACCTACGGACGCGGGCTGGGCCCCACACGTCCATGTGCAGGGTCTGCAGGGGAGCTGTCGTCGGAGGGAACGAGGAGGAGTGAGGAGCAGCGCACTGCCGCCCCTCGACTCAGGGAAGGCAGGGAGGGGCAGGGGAGTTTGGAAGAGGAGGCAGAGTCTCCGGAAGGCCAGAGACCAGGAGACGGCGGTGCATGGCCCGAAGGTGATGCATCGAGGGGTGACCAAGACGGTGGTGCGAAAGAAGGGTCCGGTGCGACAGAGCCCAACACGAGCAGGAGGCAGCTAGTTGACTAGGCGCGGACGCAGACGCAGCTACCAGGGGGGACGCAGTAGTCACTGTGTACAGGCTCGAGCCAGGCGCACGGGTGAACGTGGCTAGGTGTCGACCAGTCCGGGAGCAAGTGCAGTGGGTCACCCGCTGACCTCCAGGAGGGAACTGGTCAGCCCACACACCTTGGAGATCAGCGCCACTCACCAAGTTAGTAGAGAACGAGGGGAGGTGGAGACGTGACAGTGAGCCAGACGGGACTGCCGGACACGATAGAACCGTGGAAGAGTGCGCAAGGACTGGGCCCCCAGAGGGGTCTGCCAGGGAGACCGCAACCGGCCGACTGAGTGGCGTGAGAGTGGTGCAGTCGCGAAAGAAGGAGCGGGAAGCACCTGAGTCAAGTGTGAAGGTTTGCAAGGCCTCAGCGGGCACAGTACCTGAGAGAGCAAACTCACCAGTACCTGGAGCAGCTGACTCACTAGCACCTGGAGCGGCATGCTCACTAGCACCAAGAGCAGCAGCCCCAATGCCCGGGTCGGGCGGAACACACAGGTAACAGTCACCCTCAGCACTAATAGTCACAGCATACATGGCAGCAAGGATAGCATCATAGTCAAGAGCAAAGATATCAACACTAGACTTAAGCAGATCAGCCCAGCGAGGGAGCTCAGTGGCGTCAGGAAACTGTGTGCGCCAGGCGTCAGTCAGTCGACTGAAACAGCGCTGCGTCGCGTGTGGCAGCCTGCACGTCTCTCCACTGCGGTCGCGGGTGCGGAGAGAGTACATGCAGGGACCAGCACCCCTAGACCTCCCACGAAGCTGCTTGGGTGATAGAGTCTTACGCGAGCGCAGCTGCTGCTGTCGCCGACCACCGCCAAAAGGCTCCACGCTGCGTGGCTCCACTCCGGTCACCACCACTGCCGCCGCCACCTCCACCACCGCTGCCGCTGCCTCCAGCACCTCCACCGCCGCCACTGACGCCCAAAATCCCGCCACCACCCCCACCTCCACCCCCACCCCCCCTGCCTCCTCCACCGCCACCACTGCCGCCACCGCCGCCCCCGCCACCACCCTTGCCCCCCTTGCCCTTGCCGCCGCCCTTGCCGCTGCTGCGCCTCCCACTAGGAGCAATCACAGCCCCGACCTCCTCGGTGCCAACGAGGTCGACAACAGAAGCAGAGGCAACAGAGGGCAAAAGGGGAACAAGGGAACACCCCTCAAAGAACGGGGCGCAAGGGTCGCCGCGAGAAGCTCCTACAGCGACTATGCTAGTCTCAGCTGCTAGGAGGTGCTTCTTGAGGAGGTCGGCAGTGAGCATGGTGGGGCAAAGAGAGAAGAAGTGGTCCCTGACTGAGCGAAGGGAGTCAGGGAGATGGGTGACGAGGTAGATAGGGTGATGTACATTGGGGGGGGGGGGGGGGGGGGGGTCTTGGCGCAAAACCCGTGGGGAAGCACAGCGCGGTAGCGGGTGTCACTATTGCGGAGGTGAATGATGAGGTCAGCGACTGTGGGAAAGGTGGCTAGGTCAGGGAACAAGTACGGCAGCATGAGGCGGCTGAGGGCAGCAGTGGCAGGGGAGGAGTAGCGCGCGACTACCGCTCATACAAAGACTTAGCAGTCTTGTACTGGCCACAGTGCTATGGAATTCCACTACTATAGCAGCTTGATAGAGCTTGAAAGCACGATTCCAACGCACCAAAGATTGCAGGAAACGGTCCACTATAGCCAGAGATACGCACAAACATAGCAGTGATAATGACTTAGTTGATTTCTGGTTTGTGCTCTCTGGTTTTATACTAGGACGCAATACAAAATAAAAGCACACAAGAAAGTGTCGACCCGGGTCGCACGTTGAATTTCGTCGACGCGAAATTCAGGGCCTTGAATTTCGCCGAGCGAATTCTATTGACTGGAATTCCGTAGACGAGAATTTCCGCGATAGGAATTCTGTCGACCACCGACTGTAACTCCCGTGCGAATTCCGTTGACTTCGACACTTCGCTGCCGAGTTTCAAACCGAACGCGACCCGAGATCGATTTCGCCAAACTGTCCCCAATCTGTCCCCAAACTGTCCCCAATCTGTCCTGACAAGACACTTTTGGGACACTTGAATCAAAAGGTCTCCAGTTCGAAAATCGTGTGCACCATAACCAGCGCCTTAGCAGAAACTGTCCTGAATCTATCCTGAGACACTTTCAGGACAGATTTGAAGGTCACGAGTTCGAATCCCAGCGCTGACATTTTGTTGCTCATGGCAGCATTTCCTTCTAACACGCCCCCTTGCTGTCAGGAGCACGCTGGACCAGCCTGGCTGCTGCACAGCATCGGTTGAAGGCTGTCTTGTCGAGCCGCTTCGTGAAGAAGTCTGCGGGCTGCGCCGTTGTAGGGATGTGCTGCACCTCCAACTTCTTCATGCGCACCATGTCCTGTAGCCACATGTGGCGACGGTCCACATGCTTCATGCGCCCCTGCAGCCCGCCCGCCTGGCTGAGCTGCACCGCTGACATGTTGTCGACATACAGGGTGGTGGGGACACCCTTCTTGAGCAGCTGAAACTCCCACAGTAGGAACCTTAGCTTGCGCCCCTCCTTTCCTGCTTCTACCGCAGCCACAAGCTCGCTCTCGGTGGAGGAGAGCTTGGTCGAACCTTGAAGCTTCTTGGCTTGCCAAGAAACGGCAGCTCCGCCAAGCTTGAAGAGGTAGCATCCTGTGGACGAACGGTTCTCCTTGTTGCCCGCATCATCCGCATCCGCATACCCCACCAAAGTCAAGCTCTCTGGTCCTCCCGTGAACAGCAGCCCCGTGTTTGGTGAGGCAGCCCAGTAGGAGAGTGTGCGGAAGAGCTCATGCCAGTGCGCATCCGTCCTGAGGTGTGCACCTGCTGCAAGACGGCTGCACGCAAAAGAGAGGTCAGGACGGGTTGAGATGGCTGCAAACTGCACCATGCCGAGAACTGACTGGTACTCGGTCATGGTTTGGTCGGCAAATTTCCCGGCATCCTGCTTGGCAAAGCTGGCGGAGGAGAGAGGGGTGATGGGCTGCTTCTTCGGTGGCGCCCCCTTGAAGAACCGCTGCTGCACCTTCGTCACGTACGCATTCTGATGCAGGAGGAGTGTCTTGTTGGGGCGATTGCGCACAATCTGCAGCCCCAGGTAGCGTTCCACTGGCTCCACCTCACGGAGCTGAAACGCCTTGGCCAGCAGTTCCTTCAAGTCCTGCAACAGCTGCTTGTCTTCACTTGCCGCTAGCAGGTCATCCACGTAAATTAGCAGCCACACGCGCTTCCCGCTCGCCCCATCCTTGTAGTATAGGGCCTGGTCCACAAGGCTCTTCTTGTATCCCTCCACAAGGAGCACCTTCTCCAGCTCCTTATACCATAGAAGGGGACTCTGCTTGAGTCCGTAAAGGCCCTTGTGCAGGAGGCACACCTTGCTGCTGCCGTCGGTGAAGTAGGGCAGCTGCTGCATGTAGATCTTGTGGTCGATGGTGCCGTGAAGAAATGCATTCTTCACGTCAAGCTGTAGCAAATCCAGGTCCATAGCTTCTGCGATTGAGAGGAGCACGTGAACGGTGGTGTAGCTGCCAACAGGAGCATAAGTGTCGTCGTAGTCGATGCCGAAGCGCTGGCTAAAGCCCTTTGCCACGAGCCTGGCCTTATACTTCTCCACGGTGCCATCAGGTCGCAGCTTCTTCTTTAGTAGCCATTTGACGCCGACTGTTTTGCGACCTTCGGGTAGGTCGGCCAATGACCAAGTGCCTTGCTCATCAAGGCTCTCCATCTCCTCCTTCATAGCAGCCCACCATTCCTTGCCTTCAGGTCCGGTCAACGCAGCTGCCAGGTCGAGGATGACACCTCCCCAAGCGCCTTCCTCCTCCTCATCCTCGTCCGGGTACTCCCCTTTGTCATCGCTGTCCGTATCGCAGTCGTCTTCAGCAAGGTACGCCATGTTGTACGGGTTCTCCTCATCGTCCGCATCTTGGGCCGTCAGGGCTGAGGGCTGGAACCGAACGGGTGGCACCCCCTTGTTAGGCCTGCTGGAGCGACGTGGGGGTTGTGGAATGGGCTGGATGGGAGGAGCTGTAAGTGACGGCTCATGCGCATGAGCCACTGGCGGCTGCTCATCCACTGCGACTCTTCCGTCCGCCTCAAGATCGGCCGTATCGCCTCCATCCTCAAGGGGACCATCTTCTGGTCCCACGGGCGCCGAATCAGCAACGGAGGTGGACCGAAAGGAGGAGGTGCAGTAGGTGCCTTGCTGCCCAAAGGGCCCACCGAGCGATCAAGGGGTTGCTCACCCCCTTGAACAGACGGCACCGGGACCACGAGGACGGTACGTGGTGGCGGCAGATTCTGCTCGGGGTCGTGGGGCTCAGGAAAGAGAGATGGGACTGAAGCAAAGGGTGGTGTGGGCTGGTCATTCCCATCACCCGCCTGTGCACGCCACTTCTGCCACCTTTCAGGTGACATATCCTCATAAAAACGTGCATCCCGGGTGATGACCATGCGATGTGACTCAACATCCACCACACGCCATCCCTTGCTTTCCATGCTCATGCCCAAATGCATGCCCCAACGAGTCTTGCTTGCAAGCTTCCCCTTACGCTCGTGCTCAGGAATAAGATACTGAACCATGCACCCGAACACACGGACCATGGACACATCGGGCTTGACTTTGAACACCACCAAATGAGGGGTCACACCATGGGGCAGGGTGGACTGGTGCACACGGTTTACCACCCACAAGAACTGCTGGAAAGCGAAGTGCCACCAGTGTGCTTTCACCCCCATGTGCCCCAACATCACATGCATGCCCTCGGTTACCGTACGGTTGTGGCGTTCAGCCACACCGTTCTGCTGGGGGGTCGAGGGGCAGGAAAGTTGACGCAAGATCCCTTGATGCTTCAGCAGCAGCAGGAACTCGTTCGACATAAACTCTCCTCCCCGGTCCGACCGCAGCACGTTCAGCGTCATCCCGGTCTGGTGTTCAGCTTCGGGGAGCCACTCCTTGAAGGGAGCAAGCGCGTAGCTCTTCAGCTTCAACGTCTTCCCCCAGGTGTAACGTGAGGCGTGGTCGACAAAATGAATGTAGTACATGCTTCCATCCATGGCTGGGGTCTGAAATGGACCGCACACGTTAGTATGGACCAGCCCAAGAACTTGCTCCTCTCGCTCGTTGTGCAGCGGAAATGATTCGCGAGTGAGTTTGGCTTCATGGCAGGAGGTGCTCGGCATATCCTCACCTCCTTTCTCCAGGTCCATACCGAACACGCCACCGCTCATGGCTGTCCGCTTCACCGCATCAAAGTGGACGTGTCCAAGGCGAGCGTGCCACAGGTTGGGCGTTGCCTTGGAGCCCACCACGTAAGTCTTGAGGCTGGCCGCTCCATCATTAGCTTCCGGCTTGCCTGACGCCACATCAGCAATCTCCTTCACCGTGCCGTTGCTTGCCGTTGCAGCCGCCGTGCCGTTGCATGCCACTGCAGCCCCTGTGCCGTTGCTCGCCGCTCCACCCGCCATATCGGTGCATGCCGCTGCAGCCGCCGTCCAGTTGCATGCCGCTGCAGCCGTTGCACCGTTCCTTGCTGGCCCCGGTTTCAGGTCAAGGCAGTGAAGGCGATGGCGGTATCGTGCCGTTGCAGCCACTTGACCTCCTGATGCGATGATGCGAGTGACACCTTCCTCGGTTTGCAGCTTTGCTCCCTTGTCCAAGAGCTGCCCAGGGGAGACCAGGTTGGCCTTCATTCCTGGCACAAAGAGGACATCATGTAGGGTCACACGCAAGCCGTTCGTGTCCTCCAGCAAAACCTCACCAACACCGGCAACTTCCTGCATAGAACCATCAAACCCTTTGACTGATTTCGTTGCAGATGGGTCACGGATCACCGTGAACCACTCCTTGCGGCCGATCATGTGTTGGGAGCATCCCGAGTCAAGGAACCACAGGTCCTTGTCATCGGCCAGTAGCTTTGCAGCCGAACACGCGACGGTGAGCGCCATGCCCTTCCCGTCTCCTTCTTGTTGGGGCACTTGGCAGCCATGTGCCCCTCCTCATTGCAGTTGTAGCAGCGCCCCTTGAAGGAGCCTCGCTTCTTTTCCCGCTTGCCATCCTTCTTCTTGTCCGTCTGCTCCTTCCCCCCTTTTCCTTCCTTCCCGTTGTTGACCCCCATTGTAGCCACGACCGTGTTGACAGCTCCCGAGAAAGCAGATGCATCGCTGGTGATCTGCTTGTAACTATGTTTGATGGAGAGAGTCTGCTCTTCCATCAACACCTCGCTGCACACACGTTCCACCGTCATGTCGGGGCTGGAGATGTCTAGCTTGCGGCGAAGGAACCCGTACTCTGGTGGCAGACCCTTCAGCACGTGAGCGGCAAACGTGGCCATGTGGACCTCCTGTCCAATGGTCAGCAGCTCCGCTCGGATGGTGCGGGCCCTATTGCAGTAGGATTCCGCCGTCTCATCATCTCCCTTCCTGAGTTGGGCTAGCTGGGTCTGAAGTAGGGAAGTGTGGAGGGCATCACGAACTTTATAAGTAGACAAGATATATGCCCATGCTAGCTGCCCAGCTTTCTCTTGCTGAGAGAAACCAGAGATGGACATTCGGATGGGCGGAGAAACACATCGGTTCATCACCATGAATGCAAGCATTTGGCCCTTTGCGTACTCCCTTCGTTGCAAGGGGTTGTTTGGGGCCGAGCTTGGTGCTGTCCCGTTGCAAAACTCCCACGAATCAGCACACTGGAGCTGATGTCGGATGGCGCTGACCCACGCGGTAAGGTCGTGCCTTCCCTCCAGCAGCGGCGTTACGGAGATGTGCTCCAAACTTGAATTGGCCGTAGCTCGCCCCGATCATTCCCGTGTCAATGGTCGGTGCAACGGCTCCTCCATCAATGCCCACGGCACCAGGAGCCTTGTGCTCAGCTCCTCCTTCACCGATTCCTCCTTGCTGGCCGCTCGCGGGTGCTTGCTCCGCCGCACGCTCCCGAACCATGCGTATTAGACGACCGTCCATAATGAGGTCGACCTCCTCATCACGCAAGTTAGGGTGGTGCTCACGAATGGACGCCTCCAGCTTCTGACGGGCATTCATGCCCTCGGCGCTCGTTAACCACTCCATGCACAGTCAAAACGAGCGTCAGCCACACCAACGTGGGAACGAAGTGATGGGAGGACAAAATCAAGCCGTTAGTTGGATCGACGCAGAAAACGCAGCTCTGATACCATGTAGAATTCCACTACTATAGCAGCTTGATAGAGCTTGAAAGCACGATTCCAACGCACCAAAGATTGCAGGAAACGGTCCACTATAGCCGGAGATACGCACAAACATAGCAGTGATAATGACTTAGTTGATTTCTGGTTTGTGCTCTCTGGTTTTATACTAGGACGCAATACAAAATAAAAGCACACAAGAAAGTGTCAACCCGGGTCGCACGTTGAATTTCGTCCACGCGAAATTTGGGGCCTTGAATTTCGCCGAGCGAATTTCATTGACTGGAATTCCGTAGACGAGAATTTCCGCGACAGGAATTCCGTCGACCACCGACTGTAACTCCCGTACGAATTCCGTTGACTTCGACACTTCGCTGCCGAGTTTCAAACCGATCGCGACTCGAGATCGATTTCGCCAAACTGTCCCCAATTTGTCCCCAAACTGTCCCCAATCTGTCCTGACAAGACACTTTCGGGACACTTGAATCAAAAGGTCTCCAGTTCGAAACTTATGTGCACCATAACCAGCGACTTAGCAGAAACTGTCCTGAATCTGTCCTGAGACACTTTCAGGACAGATTTGAAGGTCACAAGTTCGAATCCCAGCGCAGACATTTTGTTGCTCATGGCAGCATTTCCTTCTAACAAGTGCGCGCGCTCAGCAGACGGCAGCTGACTGCGAACAGCAAGGTGGGCAACAGCGTCATGAGTAGCCCACTGCGAACGAACTGTACTGTCAGCATCGGCAGCAGGTGCAACAGAGACGCCGGATGTGTGATCAAACAGTGAGACTCCGTCCCTAGAATCACACTGCAGATAGAGCTGCAGATCATCGACCCACACGTCAAAATCGACCGAACGACCCTCAGCATCAAAGGTAAGAACATGAGGGCTAGCCATGGCGACAGCAGTGGCATTAGCAAGAGAAGCAGTAGAAGCAGGAGCAGAAGCAGTAGCAGCAAAAGCAGCGCGGCTCAGTAGGACAGGGCGGCGCGTATCGGCAGAGCGGCGCGGCTCGGCAGAGCGCGGCTCGGCTGGGCAGCGCGGCTCGGCTGCGTGCTTGTCGGGCAGGTGCGCGGGCAGCGCGGGTAGGGGAGGTGCTCACCAGGGGCGGGTAGGGCAGGTGCCACTGGTGGTGGGTAGGGCAGGCGCTCGACAGGCGCGGGTAGTTTTTTTGTTCTTTTTTTTTTATATCATATACATTACAAGAATGTACAGACACCGACAGTCGTAACTGTTTCAGAGAGGGGAGCGCTACAATAGCTTGTACCACAGATCCCCTCTAAGGCAGCTATGGTGGTTGATGTGTCATGTTAGGGTTGTCCCAAATTGAGCTGAAGCTGATCTTCCATGTCAGCGGTGTGCCGCTGCTGCAGATACGCCACATCATCGTTGCCTCATCGGCTGCCAGGTGTGCCCAGTCATCATTCAGCGTCTGCCCCTTCCTCCACACTGCCACCTCGCGTGTCAAGCAGTACACCCTTGCGTGTGCGACAAAGTTTACCACCGCCTGCCGCGCCACCCTCCCGGCCTGAAAGGTCACATTCCTCCACGCCGCGTTACATCTCGTCAGCCACACTTGGTGCAGAAATGTTGCAATCCACGCCCCTTCCGGAAAACCTGACTTCGGGCTTCTTTGCATGAAAAGCAGATCCTCGAGATCCTGCCTCGCCAACCCCGGGTTCATTGCTGCCAGCACTCGCCTCAGCAAGCCCGCCACTGTCTGCACTGCAGCGCATCCGAGAAGGCAGTGATCTGGGGTTTCCTCTCCCGACAGTGCGGGCAGACCACTCCCATGAAAAATAGCCTCAAGCCCGCTTGCAAATTTCTACAGTGGAGCCTTAGAAAGATTTCACGTGCCCGCCATGGCGTGGCAAGCGAGTCTCTTTGCGTAATGACTTTGTCCCACTCGATTTCTCTCCTCTGTCCTTCCCATCTCCTTTGGTCTTCCTGCGTGCCAGCCGAGCTTGCTATCACCTTCCTTATTCCCCTCAATGAGAGTAGTTCTCCTACTTCGCATGCTTCTGACAGTAGTAGCTTCGTTCGCATGTCCCCCATGGGACCCAGGAACACGCGACCCTCCGTGAACATCGGCACCCCGCTTCGTAGGCTGAACTCCATCGTGAGATCCCCTGCGTAAGGCGCGAAAAATCCGCCGTTCTCCACGGTACACAGTCTCGCCACCACTTTGTCACCTTTCGCCTCCTCAACTTGCCAGTAGGTGAATTTTTCAGTGAAATTCTCCATGGATTCCATCGCAACCTACTGCTTGCCTCGTCATCAGCTCGCGTCAACACCAATGCTTCTGTATCTCGAGGGTCCTGTTACTCCAAAGGCATCAGTTACCAAGGCGAGGAGTTTGTCTCAGAGTCACCAACGATATCATCTGGCCTGGACATGCAGCGTTTTGCCTTTAAGCACAAGAGATATAAACATTGGTGGGATTTCGTAAACGTGCTCATAACAGCTTGTTTCCCAGCCATTACCTAGCCGTCAAGCCTGGATCATCATTGCACTATGGCGAAGGGACGCAACGGCAAGAGCGGCAAGAAGACCACTGACAATGCTCTGGATAAGGACGTACCTGACTTACCTGCGAAGGAATCCGCTGACAGCGGGAAGCCTCTCTTAATTCCCGCTTCTGCGTCTGTGATTGGTCCTTTTGAAGCCCCACCGGAGCTGCCGATCGCAAGTGAGCATGACGCTGGTTCACGACAAGAGAAAGCTGACGGGGAGGAGATTGCTGAGGGAGAACCTCGTGAGGGGATTGATGCTGAAAGCGCTGAGAATGACGGTGATGATAACGCGCAGCCGGCTGAAACCCCTGATGACGAAGACGACGGTTACCTGAGTGATGACTCTGATGAGCATCTGGAGCCAGACTCGCTTTACAGTATTCTTGCTCTGAAACGCTTTTCACTAACCTTGTTGGTGCCGATTTCCAGTAAGGTAGAAGTTAAGCGTGCTGCTATCACTGTTGCTGCGATGTTGAACGATTGGCAAGAATTATTATCGCCGGACGTGCTTCAAACCACCACTTACCAGGACCTTACACCGATGTACCTCTCCCGTGAGCGCTACGGCCGTCTGCAAGTTACATTCAACCACGTTCGAGATGCAAACTTCGTTTGGAGCCAGATCATTCGTCATGAATGCATCAATGGCGATTTCATTGACCTCACCTGGCAGCACCCTGAGGATGCGCGCTTCTTGCGCGAGCGTGTGCTAAACCCCACAACAAAGGAAGTGGTGATTAAAGGCGTACCAGGAATGATGACGGCGGAACTGTTTCGTTGCTTGTTGGTGGTGTCGAAGCTGGTCAAGCGTGGTAGGAGTGCGTTTGCCAGCGGTTTTGGCTTCCATCGGACGGTGGACCCGGTGTCTGGCCTGTTCATCCCCCATGCCGATGATGAGTACCGCTGGAGGTACTTTGTGGAAGATCCGACTACGGGAAAGCGTTACTTGCTTCATTTCCCATCGTTGACCTGCGGTTTCTGCGGGGGTCAGCACATGACACGTTACCATGATCACTATGTCGCCCCGAGACAGAAAAATTTCAACAACTAGAACGTGACTGTTAAGAAGGTTCACGAGATGAATGGTATAAGTAGTGAAGCATTGTACCTGCTGATGACACCCATTTTCCCGCTCGCTCTTCCTTATTTACCTTTTACTGACAGCTACCTGCTTCTCTTCCCCCGTAGCTGCGTCCCTGAAAGCTTCAGATCTTCTAAAGTGTATCATGCGAGACCCTGCTGTTATCCTCACCTCCACCGGTGGAGCACGAGAGGAATGGGTCTGCGTTCAGTCAGCGTGCGAAAAAGCGCAAGGAAATCGGTTCAAGCAGGCATCGGCCCACATTGCATCAGCTCGTCACAAGGGGGGCATGCGGAAGGAGGGATCAGCAACCCGTGCCAGCAAGTTCTCCCAGAAGCTGCTGGCTTTTAAGAAGGAGTACATCGTGAAGCCGTTGAAGTAACGCATGGCAACACCGCCAGCTCACAACAGCAGGGAGAGATTGGTCCAGCAGGATGTGGTGTCAGTAACAGTGTAAGAGAGGTGGCTGACATCAGCGGCTCACCTGGTCTGATAGCCTTTTGTATCATTACAGCCCATGGATGCGAGGGGGCTTCTCAGTTGTTGATTAATGGATAAGGCCCACACGGTTGTTTTCTGCGAGTTCAATGGACTCGGCAGCGTGGAGAAACAATAGAAGTGCATTGAATGGATGAGGGAGAAAACAGATGTGGCAATAATCACGGACACCAGAATACAGGCAGACCATAACTTATGGACACAAAGCAATCTGAGTGCGGTCGCAGTGTGTGGACCAGACCCCAGGGAATCGGCGGGGGGAGTTGCTATAGTGAGCTTCGTACCCGGGCTGGTGTTTGCAAGCAGCTTCACACATGAGTCTGGTAGACTCCTGGCGGTGGTTGTTCGCTGGGGAGGTCTGGAATTCTTGCTGGTGGCAGCATACATCTCGGCGCAAGCAGTCAACAGTAGCAGTTTTTACATAGACTGTCTAACGTCGTTCCTGCAGACCCTGCCGGCGCTTCCGAACATACTGGTGATGGGAGACCTCAACGTAGTCGAAGATCCGGACTTGGACCGCACTTCTCACTCTGGCTCTTCAGCGGAGAACCAGAGGCTTCTAAGCTGCTGGGGGAACACGGACTTGAGGGACGCTTTCAGGCACATAAATTCGGGCAAGAGGGAGTACACCTTTTTTGCAAAAGCAACAAGATCCAGTTCAAGGATAGATAGAGCGCTGATATCACAACCGCTGCTGTGCAAGCTGGTGGAAGCGAAACACGTGGCAATCACGAACGGGATGACAGATCACTAGAACGGGATAGGCGTGGTGATGGAATCTGCGGACGCAGTCAAGAACGGACCGGGTATCTGGAGGATGCGGGTGGAAAAGTCAAAGAAGCAGGGCGTTAGAAAAATAATCAGAAGGATCATCGAGGAATCGGCTGGGACGTCACTCGATAAGCTACTGGAGAGGCTGATCACATGATTGAAGGCATACTCAAGGGAAGAGAGAAAACGGGAGAAGGCAACCAAACTACATCTCACCAGGGAGGAAGAGCGACTCAGAACTCGGGTGTCGCGATACCCGCACTGTCAGAGGACGGGAAGAATCTTACTCCGGAAGGAGGAGCTGTTGGAGGTGTACAAAAAGAGCTATAAGGAGAAGCTGCAGGCATGGGCAGGCATTGAAGCGGAGCTAGAAGGGGAGGTGGCGTCGGGTACCCTGTCAGCACAAATCAAAACGCGTAAGGCGAAGACCGCGATCAGAGAGGTGTCAAGGAACGGGACCACCTTTCTAGGGGTAAAGGAGGTCCTCTCGGCGGCGACAGACCACTTCCGAGAGGCTTTCATCTGTGCCGGAGGAGGTGCAGCACCTGCCACGGAGGACCATCCCATGCAGCGGCAGCTGGGGGAGAAGAGCAGGAGGTCGCTAAGCGCACCTTGGACGGAAGAAGAGGTATGGAGGGCGGTAAGGGAGCTCGCCCCAGGGAAATCGCTCGGAGCGGATGGCTTGCCCAAGGAGCTTTTCGACCACAACTGGGACCTGCTGGGACCAGTACTGATGGACCTGATAAGGAGATTCACGAGGGGAGAGGAGTTGCCGCAGAACGTCACAACAGCGATGACCATCCAGCTGCACAAAAAGGGGGAGAAAGGCGACTTAGGGAACCACCGGCCAATAACACTTTTAAGCACAGTATACAAGATCGTGTCAAAAGTGATGGCAAGCAGGCTCAAGAGGGTGCTGCACGAGGTCATCTCTGAGGATCAATACGGCTTTATACCGGGTCGACAGCTGGCAGACGCGGTGGCAACGGTAGCAGATGCCATAGAAGCAGGAGCTAACGGAAAAGAGGGCTGGTACCTGTTAATGATCGATTTCCAGAAAGCATTTGACTCAATCTCGCGCGACTACCTCTTCAATACGTTACAGAAGCTGGGCTTGCCGGAGGAGTTTCTGACCTGGATGGAGGGGCTGCACAGAGAGGCAGGGACGCGCCTGCACATTAATGGGTGGCGGGGGAAAATGTTACAGTGGATAAGGGGGTGCGCCAAGGTTGTCTGCTGGCGCCGTATCTGTTCCTCTGCACGGTCGAGCCGTTATGTCTAGAGATTAATCGGAAAAGGCTGGGAATCGGAAAGCGAGGTGTGGGTAAGCTTGCGTACCTGGGCTTTGCCGACGACACCTCACTTTTACTGCACGGGGCGGATGAGCTGGAGACGGCGGCGGAGGTGTTGTCAGATTTCGGAGAAGAGTCGGGTTTGAAGGTGAACGAAGGGAAAACGGTGATCTTCCCGCCGAGGAGAAATCGAGGGAGGCCGGCGCCGCTCAACTCGCGATATAAATGGGCGGATAAGGATGAGCAGGAGCGCCTGCTGGGGATATGGATTACACCGAATGGAGACCCGACCCCATCCTGGAACAAGGCATTGGACAGGGCGAAGGGGGAGTTAACGAAATGGGAAATGAAGCACCTGACGACATCAGCGAGAGTGACAATAATTAACAACTACATCACACCGATCTTCCTCTTCCAAGTGCAGGTCTACTTACCACCGGAGGCCATCTGGAAGAAAATTCACAAGCTGTGTCACACTTTCGTCTCGAAAGGAGAAGCGGTAGAGGAAAAGCGTTTCATCCTCTGGAACTATAAGCTGGTCTGCACGCCTCGGAAGGATGGGGGGCTGGGATTAATCTGTCCTGAGCAGAGAGTCGACAGCATCGCCATCCGGAACGTCTGCCGACTGGTGCTGAAGCCAAGCTTGGTCAAGAAGTGGCTGTCGAAGAAGGCAGCGAAAATGCCCCTGGGGCTGGACACCATCTTCGCCCACAAATCATTGCTGAACCACTGGGAAAAAGGGAGCACCCGTTGGAAGGAGTTAGTCGGGAAATTTTGGGACTCGCCGTTGTGCAGAACACGTGCCCCGACAAATCGTTGGGAGGTGGAGTAGGAACATTTGGCTTTCAATCCGAACATCCCCTTCAGAGGCGCGAGCCCCTTTGGAAACCAGCAGGGAACGAAGGCACTGCTAGGTATACGCATGGGGGACCTGGTCAAGAAATCGTGGGATGGAACGTGCAGCCTCAAGAAGTTGGCGGCCCTGGCAAGGGAGTTGGGGAGCAGAGAAAAGGCGAAGTGGGCACTGAAGGCCTTCAAAGCAGCCCCCTCAGGCTGGCAGGAGATGGTGTTGGCGAAGTCAATGAGCGAAGAGGTGGTGGCCACGGTGAAGCTACTACGGATAGGCGCGGGTAGTGCAGGCGCCTGACGGGCAGGGTAGGGCAGGGCCGCGACGGCGGTTGTAGGCAGGGCCGCGACGGCTGCTGCAGGCAGGGCCGCAAAGGCGTCAGGGCAGGGCCGCAAAGGTGGCAGGGGAGGGCCGTGACGGCGGCTGCAGGAAGGGCCGCGACAGCGGCTACAGGGCAGGGCCACGACTGCCGCAGGGAAGGGCCGCGACGGCGGCTGCAGGAAGGGCCGCGACACCGGTTGCAGGGCAGGGCCGCGACTGCAGCAGGGAAGGGCCGCGACGGCGGCTGCAGGAAGGGCCGCGACAGCGGCTGCAGGAAAGGGCCGCGACGGCGGTAGGGCAGGGCCGCGAAGGCGACAGGCAGGGCCGCAACGGCGGCTGTAGGGCAGGGCCACGACAGCGGCAGGGCAGGGCCGCGACGGCTGCAGGCAGGGCCACGACGGCTGCTGCAGGTGTTCGACAGCAGGGCCGTGATGGCAGGGCAGGCGCAAGGGCGCAGTTGAGGCAGGCGCGAGGCGCGCGACAGGGCAGGCAGGCACGAGAGCGTGCTTTGGGCAAGGTTGGAGAAAAAAAAAGATTCGTGGTGGGCCCTAAAAAGAAAAAGAAAACGGTCCCACTAGGGAACCTGCTCTATACCATGTGAGAATAGTACGAGCAAATGAAATGACTAGGAAGCAGGTGGGTACAAGTAGTAAACCTAAAAGTGTTGTACCCCATATTATCCACCCCACTACAGCCTACACAGACTATAGCATATAAGTTTGACAGAAACAGCGAGAGGCGCCTGAGTCCAGGGTGAAAATGTGCAGGGCCTCCTTAGACTCTGCACCTGTACTAGCCGAGTCACAAGCACCTAGACTAGTAGCCTCTACACTACCAGGTGCCTCTACACCCCCAGCACTAGTACCCTGCTACGGCGAGTGTGTCTCAGGCTGCCGCCACTGCTGTCGACGGGGACGAGTAACGCCAGTACCAGCACCTCCAGCACCAGCACGCCAAGCTCCTCCACCAAGACTGCCCCACATGATAGCCCACTCACGGAGCTTGTGGTGAGAGAGTTGCAGGCTGCCACTGCTATTGCTACTGTCGACGGGGACGAGTAACGCCAGCACTAGCACCTCTAGCACCAGCACGCCAAGCTCCTCCACCAGGACTACCCCACTGGATAGCCCACTCGCGGAGCTACTGCGATGAGAGAGGCTCCTGCAGACGAGGCTGCCGCTGGCGTAGGAAAGTGGTAGGGGCCATGGCAGTCAGTAGCAGTAGCGTAGGAGCGGTTGCAGTACTAGTAGCTATAGCATCAGCAGCGTAGGGTGGCAGCAACAGCGTAGGGTGGTAGCAGCAGCTCGGGCGGCAGCAGCAGCGTAAGGCGGTAGCAGCAGCTTGGGTGGCAGCAGCAGCATAGGGCGGCAGCAGCAGCTCGGGCGGCAGCAGCAGCGCGAGTGGCGACAGCAGTTCAGTGCGGCGGTAGCAGCGCGGGCGGCAGCAGCAGTAGCAGCTCAGGTAGCAGCGTGGGGCGGCAGCAGCAGCTCAGGCGGTAGCAACAGAGCGGGCGGCGTTGCTAGGTTGTTGTCATTGTACTGTTTGTTCTGTTATAAATCTGCATGTGAATTGGTCTTGTGGCTGCTTGCTTGTGCTCAGAATGTGTGGTGATCTTGAGATCCACCCTGAGTTTTGTTTCGCTTTGCTTGTTCTCTTGACTGGTCTTGTGACCCTTTGTTGTCTTGCTATCCCTCACTTAGCCTATGGAGGTGTGTCATACATATCTGTATGTTGTTAGAATCCTAAGCCAAGGTAGGCTTAGGTTTTAGGAAGGAGAAGTGAAAGAAGAGGGTTTCAACTAGTACGCAGGTAGGACACATATAGGAAACCCTAAAAGGGTTGTACTTACTGTTGAGTACCCCACTACAGCCTACACAACAAATAATATTTTGACACACCCCCATAGGCAAAGTGGGGTATAGCCAACAGAACAAGCATTCACAGAACCAGTTCATAGGCAAAGACTGGTGGCAGAAGCAGAGGGCAAGTGAGGAGGAGGAGGAAACTGGAGAGGAGAGGAAGTGGGCGGCCGCTGAAGCTGCTGGCACTGGTCGCAAACGGCGTAACTGGCTCTGCTCGCCGGCAAGAGCAACTGACCCTCTAGCGACCGGAGCAATGGGTGACCGGAGTAACTGGCTCGCTCGCCGGCAAGAGCAACTGACACACGGGCCTCTGACGCAACGGTCTCATGGGCGACTAGAGCTGCGGACTTCACGACGGCCAAATGTCCTTACCCCCCTCGGATTGTCCCACCCCCGCGGTGTCACACCCCTCGGCCCTAGCGCCACTCCCCAACCTCACCCACTCCATCCCCCCCTCGGCGGCAGCTGCAGTAGTGGGAGAGAGAGGAGTGGGTGCACGTGACGGCAGCTGCCCCTCCTCCTCACGCACTCCCACCACCCCCATACCCCCCCTTACCCCCGCCACCCCCATACCCTCCACACGGCTGCACGCGCAGCAGGAAGTCAAAGGAGGAGGGGGGAGGGCGGGCGGCGTCACGATGTGCAGGGCGCGGGCGGGCTGTGGGGCGCTCGCAACGGGCAGGGCGCGGGCGGCAGGCGGGTCCAGGAGGGGCGGCGCGCGGGTCCCCAGGGGCGGTGCACAGGTCCAGCAGGGGCGGCGCGCGGGTCCCGCAGGGGCGACGCGACGGGCGACGGGAATCAACGCGCGGGTCCCTGGGGGCGCCACGACAGACGACGGGGGGAGCGCGCATGTCCCCGGGGGCGCCACGACGGGCGACGGGGGGCGGCGCGCGGGTCCCTGGGGACGCCGCGACGGAGCGTATAACCACCGCGCGCGCGCCCGGGGCGCGCGGTGGGCAGGAAACCGCCTCTCGCCCCGAACGCATGTCAGGCAGAAAACCGTCACGCGCGCCGAGCGAGTGGCAGGGAAGAAAAAACGTGGCCACGGGGCGCGCGACAGACAGTACAGCAAGCGGAAGCAGGTGGGGCCACAGCCCAGGAGCGTAGACGCTCTGATAGCATGTTAGAATCCTAAGCCAAGTTAGGGCTTAGGTTTTAGGAAGGAGAAGTGAAAGAAGAGGGTTTGAACTAGTAGGCAGGTGGGATACATATAGGAAACCTTAAAAGGGTTGCACTCACTTTTAAGTATCCCACTACAGGGTACACAACAAATAACAGCTTGACATATGTTACTCTGGAAGGGTATAGTAATGCTAGCTTGAAATGATAAAACTTTTTTATGGTTGTACTTGTATTGTCTAGTTCCTAATCATTCACCATTCCTGTTTCCTGATTACAACAACAATCATTCTATGGTAAACAACACATATCCAACTTCCAACCCTCCCTAGCTACTGCAAAACCCTGGCAAGTCTGCCAGCTTAATCCCAGTAACAACCCAACAGCCCCCCACAATCAAACAGCCAACTTCTACAGTGCTGGTGGGTAGTGCTGCCACTAATGTCTTCACAGTGCACTCGGTACTACTGGTATCATTCTATATTTTCACTGCAATTCGATATTGTCACTGACTTGTCTCTCCTGTTGTTCCATGTTTACTACACTGCTCTACACAAAGAGCAGTGAGGTGAGCGCAACAGCAAAGGCAGCGGCCACAACACTGACCGGTGAAGCGAGAGAGCCTGGCACGGGGAGAGCGGGTGGAGTGAAGAGTCACATCAGAGCAATAGCGAAGCATTTGTGGAAGCAAGTGAAGGGTGGGAGAAGGGCATGTGATTGTCTGGGAAGGAAGGGGGAGGGTGGGGGGGAACAGGGAAACGAGGGGAAGCAGGGAAACGAGGGATCACAGTTGCAAAAAACGAAAACAGTAATGATCAACCCAAAGCAGAAAACATACCAATAGGCTTAGGTGGTGGCGGTGAGGCAGAAGGGGAGTAGGGAGTTCCGGCTCCACCTCCAGATGCACCTCCGAATAAACCTGCTGATATGCACAAATCAAAACAGGTCGCGACAACAACTCAGGCATGTCGTCAAGCAAAGCGACATTATATAGTTTCAGCAGAGAGACAGCACGTCGTTTGAGCAAAGCGAATGAGTTGTCCATCACTAGCATGTCAGGAGTGGGGCTGATTCAACTAGCAGCTTGACCCCCCCTATTGACCTGTTGGTCGCTGGCATGTAATACAAAAGGTGAAGGTGTCACACTTCCAGCATAAGCCCGCCTGTGCCACTGGGGTTTGGCCGCAGCTAGCGTTGTCAGCAGGACAAGTGACGTCGTTGCCATCAATATTCCTGCGATGGAAGTGGGCAAATTGACGGAGAAAATGCTAATGTGACTCCGCCGTGTACGCATGCATGTGTAACAATGCCCGTGAGATAGTGCCATGGCCATGACATGTGACTCAGCCACGTCTGTTTGGGAAACTTGTGCACAGATTCAGTGAAGCAGTCAAGATACACAATCTCATAGCTATCAACCTCCTGACTTAAAGGTTTGTTATTTTCACTTGAACTTATAATTTATAGATTTGGTGCCTGGGGACATTTGTTGGATGTCCGAACCAATTTTGTTGCAGAAACTATCTCAAACATCCTCGGCTAACGTTGCCTGACTCTTATATTGTGGCGGGAAATATCCATGCGCATCGTAGAGGGAGGGATAATGCAGAGTGCATGCGCACATGGTTTGCAGTCCATAAAGACTCCCAAATGCGGCTGGAATAGGCCCGGTAAGTTGGTTGTACTTCAAATCTCTGCAAAGGTTGAAATTGTGAAGTGCCAGTTGTGTGAGTTACGCAGTAAGGAGAAACACGAAGTGAGTAAGGGATGCAGATAACAATGGAAAAGTGGGGGTGAGTGGGCATACAACTCTACAGGAGTCGCTGCAAACTCCGCACCGCGAGAAATGGTGCGAGGCCATGGACCGAGAACTCGGCGCGTTAGGGGAACGTAATACGCGGAAATTGATTCCCCTAACAACAACATGGTATATGGCAGGTGGGTGTTATGTATGAAGACGAACGTCGATGGTTCTATCGGGCGGTTCAAAGCTTGTTGGGTTATCTACGGCTTTGACCAACTCACGGTTCAAAAACGTTCTTGCCCTTAAGACGCCACACATCTCTTCACATTTTACCAGCCAAACTTTGTTTCTCTACGACGTGATGATCCTAGTTGAGCCGCCCGGCATTGTTGTCAACCCATCTAACGTGTACCGTACATGCAAATCTTCCTTTGGTATTAAACAGGCCCCGTGGCTTTGGCAACATCATCTATATTCTCGTCTCATCCGCATCAGTTTCGACCAATTACCATCCAACCAAGGCATGTATCGCCTTGATCGTGATAAAGACTCCATCCTCCTCAACAGACATCATCACTGAATTTGAAGGGCAGCTTTGTACTGACCTTAGGACTACAACCTCCGCCATAGTCAATCATTTTCTCAAAGTCCATCATCTCCTTCTGTACCGACCTCGTCTACAATGTTTGCACCGTACTTGTCTCCAACGAACCGCGCAAAAATCCACTCCAATGAACCACGAATTAGTTCACCTACCTAGATTGCATAGTATCTGTAACTTCTTGAAGGCGAGAAAATTTTCAGCTATCATGTGTCGTCCCAATCTCTTGCTTCGCGTTTTTTAGGTGACCTGAACTTGAGATTATGGAGGACTGTCGAACTCACCTACAAAGAAACTCCGACTCTGACTCACTAGTACAAATTGGGATGCAGAGTGCATGGGCATTGGAGGAGTGCCAACAGTGATGCGCACATGGCATGCAGCACCCAGTGGGCAGAGCACGAATGTGGAGCAAACCCAGTGTGCATCTTACAACAATTTGAGTGCCGTGAGCGCAGAGATGCTGTCAGGAATGGAGCCCGTGAGACTGTTATAGCTAAGACTCCTGTGTGGGTTGAGTGAGTTGCGCATGATGAGAAGAGAGGACATGGCAGGAAGGAAGAAAGAAAACACGCGTCTTAAATTGAAATGTGGTGAGGAACATGAGGGGTGACATGATCGTAAGCCAATTTTCTTTGAATTTATGACACTCATACTTGTAGTAACATTGTGCATACCTTGCGATGTGCTATGCTAAAAATCAGAGTGCACAGTAGCAATGCATGAGCACACGATGAAGGTGAATGGGGAGTCTCCCAATGAATGCCACAGACATCTAATCCCCTACCTGCTTCAACTCCCTTCCACTTGATCACCAGCACAGCACACCACCTCAACGCAACATGTGACTCGAGCCTGTCCACAGCGGGTGGCTGGAACTGTGAAGGTATAATCAGTTCACAAGGGCTACGGCAAGGCTACTAAAACGGACTGCGATTTTCTAGGTTGACATTGTGTAGTGGCAGTCACGAACTCTTCCAAAGCAGCAAAAGCATGAAATTATTGAAGCACAGCAGCAGGGAGGGACACGGAGTGGCAAAGGGATGCAGACAACAGGGGGGGGGGGGGGGGGGGGAGGAGTGGGCATGCAGAGTGCATGGGCAGTGGAGGAGTGCCAGCAGTGATGCGCACATGGCATGCAGCACCTTGTGGGCAGAGCAGCACACAGGTGGAGCAAACCCAGTGTGCCTCTTACAGGTATTCGAGTGCCGTGAGCGCAGAGATGCTGTTGGGAATAGAGCCTGTGAGCTTGGTACTATTAAGGTACCTGTGTGGGGTGAGTGAGTTGGGCGTGGCAGGAGAGAAAGAAAGAAACACACACGTTTTGTATTGGAAGGTGGTGAGGACTGCGAGGGGTGAGATGATGGTGAGCCGACTTTCGTGGGATTGGATGACACTCATACTTGTACTAACATTGTGCATATCTTGCAATGTGATATGCTGAAAATCAGAGTGCACAGTAGCAGTGCATGGTGCACACGATGAAGGTGAATGGGGAGTCTCGCAATGAATGCCACAGACATCTAATCCCCAACCAGCTTCAACTCCATTCCACTTGATCACCAGCACAGCACACCACCTCAACGCAACATGTGACTCGAGCCTGTCCACAGAGAGTGGCCAACATGTGTCGAACATGTGAACTGTGAAGGCATAATCAGTTCAAAAGGGCTAGGGTAGACATGGGCAAACAGCGAGGCGTGTCATACTCGCCTCGTTTTGGGCCTACTCGTTTTTTAAACGAGGCGAGGCGAGTATTTCTCAGCCCGAGTAAAAGTATCAATTTCCCTACTCATTACTCGCCCAAACGGGCGGGTTCTTTTTTACTCGCTAGGAGTAAAAAAGTATTTGTGGCGAGGCAAGTAATATTCGCCTCGCCCTAAGAATGAAGTGTTAGAGTAGACTCAGTTGGAGAGCTCCGCGCTATATACTGAAGGCTGGTGCTAGGGTTCGGAGAAGGTAGACTGGATCTACTTCAACGACCATCTGTAAATTGGTGAGGGGGGGTTTGGCTTTGTAGATTCTGAGCAGTGAAGAGTGGTAAGCGGAGGCAAATCGGATGGAAACTTCAGACAAATTTGTTGTGAGGGGTAGTGTCCAAATTTGATGACTGGGTATCGCGTCGAAAGTGCAAATCGCGATCTCATGCGGTCATATTTTCTTTTGGCCTCTAGCATCCGAAGATTTTAACCACGTTGTTACTTACGAGTTTAGCGAGTACTTGATGCATACACGAGTAAGAAAAATCTTGCGTGTACGAAATTACTCGCTTAAAAACCGAGTAAAATACAAGTTGTTTTCTACTCGCGGGTATTGCTTGCCTCGCCTCGGACGAGTAAAAATGATTTGGCCTGCTCGTTACTCGTAAAAAACGAGTAATTAGAAAGAGGCGGGTTTTTTACTCGCCTCGTTGCCCATGTCTAGGCTAGGGCAAGGCTACTCTAGCGGACTGCGATTTTCTAGGTTGACATTGTGTAGTGGCAGTCGCGAACTCTTCCGAAGCAGCAAAAGCATGAAATCATTGAAGCACAGCAGCAGGGAGGAACACGGAGTGGCAAAGGGTTGCAGACGATAAAGGGGGGGGGGGGGGGGGGGGGGGGGGGGGGGGGGGGGGGGGGGAGGAGTGGGTATGCAGAGTGCATGGGTAGTGGAGGAGTGCCAGCAGTGATGCTCACATGGCGTGTACCCAGTGGGCCGAGCAACATGCAGGTGGAGCCAACCCAGTGTGCCTCTTACAGATTTGTGAGAGCCGTGAGAGCGGATATGCTGTCAGGAAAGGAGCCCGTGAGATTGTTGCATTCAAGAGCCCTGTGCGGGGTGAGTGAGTTGGGCGTGGCAGGAGAGAAAGAAAGAAACACACACGTTTTGTATTGGAAGGGCCGCGAGGGTTGAGATGATGGTGAGCCGACTTTCGTGGGATTGGATGACACTCATACTCGTAGTAACATTGTGCATACCTTCCAATGTGATATGCTAAAAACTAGAGTGCACAGTAGCAGTGCATGGTGCACACGATGAAGGAGAATGAGGAGTCTCGCAATGAATGCCACAGACATCTCTGCCCCAAACAGCTTCAACTCCCTTCCACTTGATCACCAGCACAGCACACCAGTTCAGCTTCAACTTGCCATGTGACTCGAGCCTGTCCACAGCGGGTGGCTGGAACTGTGAAGGCATAATCAGTTCGGAAGGGCTAGGGCAAGGCTACTGTGGCGGACTGCAATTTTCTAGGTTGCCATTGTGTAGTGGCAGTCGCGAACTCTTTCGAAGCAGCAAAAGCATGAAATTATTGAAGCACAGAGGAACGCGTAGTGGCGAAGGGATGCAGACGACAAGGGGGGGGGGGGAGGGGGAGGAGTGGGGCATGCAGAGTGCATGGGCAATGGAGGAGTGCCAGCAATGAGCACATGGCATGCAACACTCAGTGGGCAGAGCAGCATGCAGGTGGAGCAAGCCCAGTGTACCACTTACAGGAATTCGAGTGCCTTTAGCGCAGAGATACTCTCGGGAATGGAGCCTGTGAGATTGTTTGTGAAAAGATCCCTGTGTGGGGTGAGTGAGTTGCGCGTGGTAAGATGAGAAGCTCGACAGAGGGTGGAGGAAACCTGGAAGGCATGAAAAGTTTAGAAGGGCTAGAGCAAGGCCAATGAAAGTTGAGATTTTGTTGTGGCAACTGTGAATTCTACTGCACACGTGGATTTCATGAAGCGCGAAAAAGAGTGATGTGGCAAGGACAATCGAGGAGTTGGAAAGCGATGCAGACAGCAAAGGGTGGCAGGAGTGGGCATGCAGAGTGCATGGGCAGTGGAGGAGTGCCGGCAGTGATGCGCTCATGGCATGCAGCACCCAGTGAGAAGAGCAGCACGAAGGTGGAGAAAACCCAGTGTGCCTCATACAGGTATGTAAGTGCCGTGAGGGCAGAGATACTGTCGGGAATGGAGCCCGTGAGATTGTTGAGGCCAAGATCCCTGTATGGGATGAGTGAGTTGCGCGTGGAAACATGAGAGGCTCAAATGCTTGTCTACAGAGGGTGGCGGGAACCTAGAAGGCATGATAGATTCAGAAGGGCTAGAGCCACGCGATTATAGAGGTTTGCGATTGTGAAGGTAGAGATTGTGTAGTGGCAACTGTGAGATCTACTAAGCAAGGCACACGTGAACACAGTGAAGCGAGACCACAAGGTTTGTGTAGACAGAAGAGGGGGTGAGGAGTGGGCATGCAGAGTGCATGGGCAATGGAGGAGTGCCGGCAGTGATGCGCACATGGCATGCAGCACCCAGTGGGCAGAGCAGCATGCAGGTGGAGCAAGCCCATTGTACCACTTACAGGAATCTGAGAGCCTTCAGCACAGAGCTACTGTCAGGAATAGAACCCGTGAGATTGTTGCTCCAAAGACCCCTGTGTGGGGTGAGTAAGTTGCGCGCGGTAAGACGAGAGGCTCAAACTTGTCTACAGAAGGTGGTGGGAACCTGGAAGGCATGATAGATTCAGAAGGGCTAGAGCCAGGCAATTGTAGAGGTGTGTGATTGTGAAGGTAGAGATTGTGTAGTGGGATCTGTGAGTTCTACTAAGCAAGGCACACGTGAACACAGTGAAGCAAGACCACAAGGTTGGTGCAGCAGAGACGATCGAGTAGTGGCAACGCGATGCAGACAGAAGAAGGGGGGAGGAGTGGGCATGCAGAGTGCATGGGCGGTGGAGGAGTGTTGACAGTGTTGCGCACATGGCATACAGCACCCAGTGCGCAGAGTAGCACGCAGGTGGAGCAAACCCGCTCTGCCTCTTACAGCCATGTGAGTGCCTTCAGCGCGGAGATGTTGTCGGGAATGGAGCCCGTGAGATTGTTGCTGCCAAGTTGCCTGTGTCGGGTGAGTGAGTTGCGCGTGGTGAGACGAGAGGCTCAAATGCTTGTCTACAGAGGGTGGCAGGAACCTGGAAGGCATGATAGATTCAGAAGGGCTAGAGCCAGGCAATTGTAGAGGTTTGTGATTGTGAAGGTAGAGATTGTGTAGTGGCAACTGTGAGTTCTACTAAGCAAGGCACACGTGAACTCAATGAAGAGAGACCACAAGGTTGGAGCAGCAGAGACGATCGAGGAGTGGCAACGCGATGCAGACAGAAGAAGGGGAGAGGAGTGGGCCAGCAGAGTGCATGGGCAGTGGAGGAGTGCCAACAGTGATGCGCACATGGCATGCAGCATCCAGTGGGCAGAGCTGCACGCAGGTGGAGCAAACCCATTCTGCCTCTTACAGGAATTCGAGTGCCGTGAGTGCAGAGATGCTGTCGGGAATGGAGCCTATGAGATTGTTGCTGCCAAGATCTCTGTATGGGGTGAGTGAGCTGCGTGTGGTAAGACGAGAGGCCTAAATGCTTGTCTACAGAGGGTGGCGGGAACCTGGAAGGCATGATAGATTCAGAAGGGCTAGAGCCAGGCAATTGTAGAGGTTTGTGATTGTGAAGGTAGAGATTGTGTAGTGGCAACTGTGAGTTCTACTAAGCAAGGCA